TTCTTTTCCACTCTAAGATAATAAGTTGGTGGATTTTAGTAAATCTTATGCTTTTTAACTTTATAGTTTTAATTTATACGATTTATAGCTTATGCAGAGGTATATATATCAAATACTTCAAAGTGAGATTTATAGTATCAAAAGTTTAAGAAACTGAGGTTTCAATTAAATGGAAGCAAATAAGAAACAATTTTAAGTTAAAAAGATATATCATTTCCAAAAAAAATGCACCAATCCCTCTATCAGTGAATGAAATACTTAATTAAAGTGCTGATATTAGTTAATTTAGTAGCTATTCTTCAAAGAATTTTGAAGAAAAATCTGATTGCATAAATGAATTATCTATTAAATGGTAAATAAATCCTCTTAAAGTGAGAGAGATAGCTCTTCCAAAAATTCAAAAATGATTTCATTATAAATTTTTAAAATGCCTAAATATATATATGTCATGTTAATTTCCTTTTTAATATTTTTTAAGTGAAAAGTAAAAATAATTATTTTTTTTATTTTAACTTTCCTTCAAAATAATTTTTTAATTTAGATGCTCATTTATTTAGGCTTATGAATTTCTAAATTTTTTATTATATAACCTACCTTATTTAATTTTTTTTAATAAGTTCATAAAAATTAACCTTAATTAATCTATTATCTATATTTAGTAAATATAACAATTTTTATTCTATTTATTTTCTACAAAATTTATAAAAACTTTACACTTTATGAAATTAGGAACTATTACAGTTTAATAAAAATTAAAAAAATTCATATAAATTTAATAGTTTATTTAATAATAATTTAAAAAAATAAGATAAATCTTTGATAAAAATTTTTTTTTCTTTGTCAAAGAATTAAACTTTGATTAAACATTTTTAATTTTTTAATCATTCAAAACCTTTTTAAAAACCTTTTTTTTTTTATTAAATATATGTTAAATATTTTTATTAAAAGTTTCAAAAGTAATATTTATTATTGTATTAAATATATATTTCCTACTCTAGAAATAATTATCCGAGTATAGCTATATATCACTAAATTATTTTTTAGTAAATATCTCTATTTTTAATTACTATTGAGATATTAAACTTAATTTTCTTTGCTTTCTAATTTAACTTAACTATTTTTAGTCCTCCATTTTCTTTAAATATCTAATTGTGTTAGAACAATAAACTGGAAGTGATAAATTTACCTTAGGTACCTAATTTTTATATTCTGTGATATTAGATTAAGTATTTATAATATAATTTTAAAAATATATTTTTGGCTATTCATTTTTTAAGCTAAGATCAACCAAACTAATTTAAATTTAAGCAATTTTTGTTTGTTGAAAAGTATCTTAATCCAAAGGTTTAAAAATTTAATAAAATTTAAAATGGCATAAATAATTTATATCGATTAAAATATTTTCCTTAGCTATTATAAAGGATACTTTCTATTTTAGCATCAGAATGTTTCAAATTATTTGAGTAATTTTTTTCTAACATTATTGAATTTAAATATCAAAGCCTATTATTTAATTGAGTGGTTGTGTTTTTTTCTACTAAAGAAGCTTTTCATAGTGTCTTTACGATTGCTTATAAAATTAAATAAAAATAACTAATTTTTACATGAATACCTTTTAGAAATTCGGCAGTATTTGTTTTGTTTTTTTTCATTTACAAACTCTTTAATAGATCTAAAAATCTAAGGAGTTTCCTTTAACAATTTCAATAGTTTTTCTTCTTCTTTGATTTTTTCACTTTGTTATATTTGACAGCTACTATTTATTCATTGTACTTATACTCAAAAACACATCCAAAACCACATTATGAAATGTATGATGATAAGTATATCCTCATATTTTGAATTAATCCTAAATTAATCTCAGATTATCTGAATCAAATATCACTCATACTCTTCTTATGTTTCTATAGTGCCTAATATTTAAGTTAAATGTCTTTTCATTGTTTCATGATTAGCAATAATTCCTTATATACAAAATAATTAAAATATTTAACATTTATAATAAATTTTTGTTTAATTTGAATAATACATACTATTTATTTTATAAAAAATTTTTTTTATTTACCTTTTTATTTGTTTCTTTTCTTTTAATTTTTTTTTAATTAAATTATATAAAATTTTTAATTAAATAAGTTTTTTAAAATATTAATGATGAATAATTATTTTTTTATTTTCAATCATGATAATAAAACTAAAAATAGTTTATGATTTTCCTCAAAAACCTCAAAATTAATTTATATTAGCAATTTCACTTTATTAGATAACATTTATTTATTTTAGATTTTATTTAATTAATTCAAAAAATAAAAAACAAAATAAAATAAATTCTATATTTAACAGCTAAATAAAAAAGAAAAGAATATTTTTTAAAATTTATTAAATATAAAACTGATATATAAAAATTAAAAGATTAATAATTTTTTTTATATAAACTTTAAAAAAAATAAAATTTTCTAATATTTTATCAAAATACCTTCCTTCAAAAAGAAAATTTATCTTCTCATTATTAAATAAAAAGCATAATTCGCTTAGCTTTTATTTTACCTTTAGTTCAATTATATTTGTTTTACATTTTTCATAATAATATATTATTAAATATATTTTGAAATTATAGATCTTAGCTTTTTCAAGTTGTAAGGCTGAAGAAAAAATTCTAACACATTCTATTAATATATCTAAAAGAATCTTTACATACCTAAAAATTATACAAAACATTAAAAAAAATAAAATAATGAAATTAGTTTGTATATTAATTATTTATAATAGATAAAAACATAAGAACACATTTTTGAGTAATTTCAAATTCTTGAAGCACTTTTTGTAATTAAATACTCAATTAAATTCTTTTTGTTTTTTTCGATATTTGAATATCAAAAAAAAAGGTAATATTTAAATGAATGATTATAAAATACCTATTAAAAAATATCAATCTATTGTTTTTAATTTATAGAGTGAATCCAACTAATAATATATGTTTTAATGAAAATTTAATTTAATATCATTCTTATAGATTTTGAAAAATGTTAAGTAAAGTATATTAGATTTTATTAAAATTATTTCTGAAATAATATCCTTAATTAATTTTATTTGTAAACTTATGAGTACAAATTCATTATACTATTTAAAAAAGAATAGATGAGAGAAATTAAGAAAATTATGGTAAATTATATTTAACTTATCTATAAATACTTTTAATATTAGATTTTTTACTTTTTTAGTGCCAAAAGAATAATAATTTTCTTACTTTATTTTTTTTCATTTAGTTTTCCCAATTTAATAAAATGATAATTAATGTTTTTCAAATAACTCAATTTGAATAAAATTTTAAAATTAAAATAATATTTAAAAATATGATGTATTTGACAGTAATTATGATTTTAAAAATGTATTTAATTTAAAAAAGGAAAGTTTAATTCAATTACTTTAAACATTTATTGACAAAAGAAAATTGCTCTCTTTATTAAATTATTAGTGTTGAATATAGATTAAGATATTTAATAATTTTTTCGGATATTTAATTTCTAAACATTATTTATTCTAAAGTGATTTTTACCCACAAGAAGATTAATTTGTTTGATAACATTAGATAATGTACAATTTCATTTCGTGCTTATAATCTTATTTATAAAATAAGGAATAACAAAAAAGTAAGAAAGATGTAAACTTACAAATATTTCCTATTCTTTTTAAGCATAAACTATTCAATAATTTAAAGAGTACTTGCTCAAGTTTACTATAACTATCATGATTTAGGTAGCAATTTAAAAGAATTAAGTCCTTTATTAATCAGTGAAAATATATCTAAATAAACCCATTCAATCAAAGTAGAATCAGAAGGTTTGAAAAGTCTTATAGGGGCTAGCTGCCAAGCTATATTTGAACTTAGTATCTCCTCACCTAGGTAAAGCTATATTTAAATCAATATTTAAGTAAATTTTACGAAATCTAAATATAATTAGGAATATATCTTTTATAATTTAAGATTAATCTTAGAGAATTTTACACTTAACTCTAAGTTAGTCAATATATAACTTCACTATATAGCAAATAGTTGACTAATCTTACTTAATTTACACTATATTTTCTTATGGAAATGAAGAAAACGTTTGGAACCTATTTAAAATTAAAGGATTAAGGTAAATAATTTTTCATAAATGGAATATCATCATCTAAATATCTTTGAATTTTATTTCAATTTATTTTATAAATTATATTTGATTAAAATAGGTTATTCATAAATATAAATAATTATTAGCTAAAATAAAATATTTCTTATCAAAATATTAACTCTTCATTTCTAAGACTACTATTAACATGTAATGAATAATAATTCTTTCATCCTATTTATTAGCGCTGTGAAAATTGCCACCCTAATTGCAAAGGTTGCACAGAATATAAGAAGTGCAAAGATTGTTAAAAAGCACCTGGTAAAAATGAGAGGTAGGACTAACTTGCAGATGGGTTTTGTGATCCTTGTCCATCAGGATAAACTTGGAGACCTAATAATATATGTAATGGTTGTTCAGATACATGCAATTGTGATAATAAAAAATAATGCATTTCCTGTAAAGATAGTAGTAAAAATTAGCTTAATGTCGAAAGAAACACATGCGAACCATGTTAGTTAGACTAAAGATATTATATTGAAGGATAATTTTGCAAAAGATGTAATATTATTTGTAAGACATGCAAAGGACCATCTGATAGTGATTGTTTATAGTGTATTGACGGAGCTAAAAAATATGAAGATGGAAGTTGCAAATATAACAATTAAAATCCTAATGATTGTGTTTCTCCTTACAAATAAGATAAATCTTAAAATTGTGTTTTATGTAATTAAGATGGCTAGTATGCTAAAGATAAAAATTGTGTTGAATGTTAAGCTGATTTAAAATGTTAAAAGTGTTCACCTGAGACATAATGTACTTAATGCTCTTAGGGATATTTCTTAAAAGGAAACGTATGTCAGTAATGCCCACCTTAGATGAACTGCTTAACTTGCATAAATGAAAACTCATGCGAATCTTGTGAACCAGGTAAATTTATTTAAAAGGATGGAAAATGCGATAAATGTGAATAAGGATATTACATAGAAAGTAAATATTGTAGATAATGTAAAATTGGATGTAGTAGCTGTACATCATACTTTAAATGTGATTAATGCATGCCATAGTTTTATAAATTAAAAACGGGATGATAAATAACAAATTAATTCTAATATTATAATTTTATTTAATATTTATTTGTAATATTTAAAATAAAGTTTTATTTAAGCTAATAACTTAATTTACTTTAAATCTTTAAAAAACATTACTTTGATTTTTTGAGAGTTTTCAAAATTTTGTTTTAATAAAATATTTTTAAATTTTCATCCACTTTATTTGCTTAATCCTTGATATTAAGCATTTATTAGTATAAAATTAAAGTCAAACTTTAATTTAACACTAAAAAGTTTTATATTTTAAAAAAGTAATTAAATTTCTTAATGTTTTATAAAATATTTTACTAACATCTTAAAAATGTTTACTTAATATATATTTGATAATATTTGTGTTAAATAAATCACTAAACTGTTTTTCAATAAAAATCTCTATTTTTCATTTTAATTGAGAGATAAAAACTTAATTCTTTCTTTTCTAATTTATATTAATATTTTTAGTTCTCCATTTTCTTTAATATAAATATATATTGTTTTAGCATAAAAAATAATAGGGAAGTGATAAATAGCAGTAATTGATACCTAATCTTTATATTAATCCATATTTTAGATAAATATTTTATAATATTTTAATATTATTTAGAAATATATTTTAGCTAATTTATAAAGCTTAGATCAATTTCATCTCAAGTATAAAATAGTTTTAATTATAAGCAAATTAAATTTCTCTTAAGAAATTAAGATAAATAAAGATTTTATCAGAGATATTCTAAGCTAAACGAATAAAAAATATGTATTAATGAGCTTGAATATCATATATATATTTTTCATATATATTTTAATATTCTTTTAGTTTTTATCTAAACTATTTTTAAAAATGTGTTTAAAGTAAAATAAAATTGTGGTTTGAAATTTACTTTCATAACTTTCAATTAAAATATTCTAACTGGAAGGAGTAGCCAAATTCTTAAATATTTGACTAATATAATTAATTTTACATGTTCATCTTTCAGAAAATAAGGTTATTGATCACTTACTAGATTTATAATTAACCATTTTTCATAATATTTAATCTAATTAATATATATCTTTTTATGTTTGTGTTATATTTAAATATTAAAAGCACATGATCTTTCAGCCTAATCTTAAGAGTTTTTAAAATCATATTTGATGAATTAATTATTCTCTTTTTGTATTTTAACAATTTCACATGAAGTTTTTTTAAATATACTTTTGAGATAGCAAAATGGTTAAGAATAGAATAGTTTGATTCAAAAAATATAAGAAAGCTAAAAGCAATAAAATATTTCGAAATATTTATATTTATGGACTGCTAACTAAAAAGTATTATCAGTTACTATTAAAATTTAAAATAAAATTTATGATATATATTAGCATGAAAAAATATTAGTAGCCCCTATTTTTATCAAGTAGAATTAATAAAAAAGGGTTCAATTAAAAAGTTAATTACTTAAAAAATTAAAAATTTAAAATAAAAAAACTTAATTTTATTTTTTATTTTAACATAAAAAAAACATTAAATAAAAATTTTATTTTAAATTAAAAAAAATAGACAAACAATGAATTTAAAAATAAATTATTATAAAAAGATAGATTTTATAATTTATTTTTATATAAGTTAATTAATATTTAATTCGATTGTTAATATTTTATTGCTTAAATTTAAAACTTAATGCAAAAATTTGTTAAATTATTTAGAGCTTGTTTTACAATTAATTTATTTAGAAAAAATATAAATTAAATTTCTAATTATTTCAGTAAGTTTAACGTTTAAATTGTATTCACTAAAATATAATAAATAATAATTTTAATAATTTCAATTAATTATTAAAATAGATTAGTTTTATAAATAAAATTTTTTTGACTTGAAACTGTAAAATTTTGTACTTATTTTTATTGATTATAAAAATAATTTTAATAAGCTTATTATAATATTTTTCTTAATGAATAATATATACTTTTATATCTATAACAACATTATAAAATTAAAACAGATATCTTACTCTGAGTATAATAAGCTATATTATTATTGCTATTTAATTTTACAGCAGATAAAAATAATTTAGTAACTAATACTTTCTTTATTTTTAGATCTTAATAGAACAAAATCAAATTACTAGAACCAATTACAAATTTATATTAGATCATTTTTCTTGGGTATTTTAAGGAATAAGAGGTAAGATTAATTAACGAGAGTAAAATTTTTATTTAGATAATAATTACATTATTTTTATTTCTTTGATAGTTTTTCAAATTTAAAGAATTTGTTAATGTTTTAGGTTTATTAGGTTGAGATCTTCAATATTTTAGTTATAAACTGTGAATCCTCATTAATTAATTTTCATCCAATATAATTTTTACTATTTATCCATAGACTTTTAAGGTAATTCTCTTTAAAAAAAATAATTAAATTAAGTAAAATTTTATAATTTGAGAAATCACAATAATTACTTATCTTTATATAAATGAAAATTAATTATTTGATTTGCATGAATAGCAAATTAAGATAAATATTGTTTCAGCCTGAAAATTTAATAATTAATTTTTTAGAAAAATTTACTAATTTTTTGTTTTTTTAAATGTTAAATAGAGGAATAAAAATGCTAACTATTAGATTTAATACTTTAATCTTTTTAATAATCATTTTAACTTAAAAGATAGGTAATTCATTTTATAATTTTAAATATTTTCTTTATTTTAACATCTATTTATTTTTTCATAAGTATCTAGAACTTTTATATTTAGCGATTAGACCTTTTAGAAAGAATAGGAAATAATAATAAAATAAGAATTGTTCTCTTTTTAAGATACTTTATGCTCTATTTAAATATAATTTGCAAGCAAATATTATAACCAACAGTAAATTAAAAGTTTTTTTTATAGTTTTAAATTAATATATTAAATAAATAAATAAGGTATAATTTTACAAGTATTTAACCTGAAAATATTGATGTTTAAAGAATTATTTTAGAAGAAACTAAAGTACAGTTAGATTTTGTAAGAATTCAAAAATATAAAGATATTAAAATTAAAGTCATTTTATCTTACAACAATTAATATTTATAAAATTAGTAACCTATTCTTCAATACAAGTAAATCTGCTTTTTCTTTTTTTAAAATAAATTTAAATTAGTATAAATTTTAAAAATTCAGAACTCAATGCTTAAATTATACAAATAGCTAGATTCAAAAAAGATTACTATAAAAATCTTGTACTGATAATACTTATTATGAAATTGTATACTAAGAATGTATGTAGTGTGGATAATATTGTTATGGTTGTACAAACTATTACTAGTGTAATGATTGTATTAAAAAAGGTATAAGTGGTAGATATGAATATTTATATGATAAAACTTGTGGTACCTGTAATGATGGATTATCTAGTTCAAAATTTAGTAATCAATGTTAAGGAAAGTCAGATAAATGTAAAGATATTTCAAGTGATGGTAAATAATGCAATAGTTGCAAAGATAGTAGTCTTTTTATTAACGAAGAATTAGCAACCTGTTAAAAATGTAACACTAATAATGGGTGGTATATTAGTGGTTAGTATTGTAGAAGGTGCCCATATCAATGTTTATCATGTAAAGGACCTAATCCTAATGATTGCATTGCTTGTAGAGATAGATTATTGAAATATGATGATGGAAGATGTGAATTTAATCCTAATTACCGTTGCTCTGATGGTTATTATAAATCTTAATAAAATTGTATTAAATGTCCAAGTAAATGTACAAAATGCACATCTGACAAAAAATGTGTTGAGTGTGAAGGAGGTTCTTTTATTATGCAGAATTAATTATGTGAAGATTGTTTGATAGGTAAAGGGGAATTCTTTGATGGGAAATAGTGTTCTAAGTGTTCATAATATTGCTAATCTTGTTAAAATTTGTAAACATGCTAAGTTTGCTAAGATAGCTATTATTTGAAAGAAGATAACTCAGGATGTATGAGTTGTGCTTAAAATAGCTAATATTTTATTGATGAGAAATATTGTAAATTATGTGATTCTAAATGTTTAACATGCTCTGAAAATAAAACAAATTGTTTATCATGTGTATAAGGGCTTTATTTAACTAAAGACAGTAAGTGTGTTAAATGTGATTAAGACGGATTTTACATTGATGGTTCAAAATGCTTGTCTAATGAATGCAAAGATGGCTTTTATTATAACTTAAGTACTAAGAATTGTGGTCCATGCTACAATAACTGTAAAACATGCAAAGGAGGTGGAGAAAAAGATTGTTTAACTTGCTTGAATTTGAATGAATATCTATTTCCAGTAGGATATTGTGGTATTTGTAGAGAAGGAGATGGATATGTTTTAAAAGATCAATACTGTATTCAATGTGCTTCAAACTGCTAAAAATGTTCAGGTGATAGTGTAAGTGAATGTATTTCTTGTAAAAGTGGGTATAATTTTATGACTGATGGAAGATGCGACAAATGTAATTAAAACCTAGGATAATTTATTGATGGGCTAACTTAAAAATGTAAGGATTGTCATGCTTCATGCAAAACATGCATAGGAGAAAGGGAGGATTAATGTGATGAATGTCATATAGAATATATAAAAGATGATTAAGAGAAATGTAGAATATGTAAAATAAATGAAGGTTAGTTTTTGGATCTAGTTGGCAAATGCTAAGTTTGTCATAGAAATTGTTAAACTTGTAATGGAAAAGAGGAAAATAAATGCTTAACATGTAAGCCAGGATTTTATAAGGATGAAAGTGATTAAGGAAAATGCGTTTCCTGTGATACAGAAAATGGTTTTTTTATTTCTGAATAATACTGCAGAAAATGTCACTCAACATGTAAAAAATGCTTTAATTCTTAATCAGAAAATAGTTGTATAGAATGCAATGCTGACCTTTATCTTTTTACTGATGGGAGATGTGATGTATGTGGATAAGGGTTCTATGTTGAAAATAAAAATTGTAAATAATGTAAATTTGGATGTAAAAGTTGCAGATCAAACTTTAGTTGCGATGTATGTCTACCATAGTTTTACAGAAAAAAAATTAATTGACTAAATAAAACAATAGATTTTTGAGGATAAAAAATCTTTGGAAAAAATTATGAAAAAACAATTTTATTGTATATTAATTAAAAAGAAACAGCATTAATTATTTAAAGATTAAAACCTTTAAATTTAAATAATATATTTTCATTTATTTAATCCGATAGTTTTTATTTTATTTCTTTGTTTTAAAAGTCAAATCTGAAACATTTTTTAAATTATTGCAAGTTTGTTTGTTTTACAAAATTATGTTTTAAGATTAAATTAATTAAATAAATTTTTAATAAATTAATTAATTCTTATTTCTTTAAAAAAAATATAAAGTAAATTACTAATTATTTCAATAAGAATAGATGGATAATGTTTAAAATTATTTTTACTAAAATATGATAGACAGTAATTGCAGTAACTTTAATTAATTATTAAAATAGACTTATTTTTTAATAAAACTTGTTTGATTTGAAGCCATAAAACTTTCTTCTTATTTTTATTGATTGGGTAAATGTTTTTAATAAGCTTATTATTTAAGTAAATATTTGTTGGATGATACTTTTCTATATATAGTAATACTACTAAATTAAGGCATATCTCTTACTCTAGTTTTATAAGTTATACCATAATTAATATTTAATTTTACAAGAGATAAAAATAATTTAGGAATACTTTCTTTTTTAGACTTTAATAGAACAAGATCAAATTAATAGAACTAATTAAAAACTTATATTTATTCATTTTTCTGGAATCTTAAAGAAAAATAACAAAGAGAAATAGAGGCAAGTAAAATCTTTAAATTAATAATAATTACATTCTTTTTATCCCTTTGATAGTTTTTCAAATTTAAAGAACTTATTAATATTTATATAATTTTAGATATAAATTTTGGTTATTTTTTAAGCTTATACCAACCAAACTTTAAAATAATCTAATTTTAAGCAATTTTTGTTAACTTGAAAAGTATCTTAATCTGAAAGTTTAAAAATATAATAAAATTTTAAATAGCATAAAATATTTACATGAATTAAAATCTTTTTCTTGGCTAACTTAAAGAATACTTTATGTTTTAACATCAAAATATTTGAAATTGTTTTAGTAATTTTTTCAAAGACTGTTGATCTGAATACCAAAGCCTATTTTTAGTTGAGTAGTTGTGTTTTTTTAGAACCAAAGAAGCTTTTTATAGTGTCTTTAAGATTGCCTAAAAAATTTAATATTTTTAAAAATTAATATTAATTTTTACATGAATATTTTTTAGAAATCATGCAGAGTTTTACTTTTTTTTTCATTTACAAACTCTTTAATAGATCTAAAAACATAAGGAGTTTTCTTTAAAAATTTCAATATTTATTCTTCTTCTTTGATTATTTAACTTTGCTACATTTGGCAGCTACTATTTATTCATTTTACTTAGCCTCAAAAGCACACCCAAAACTACCTTGTGAAATGAATTATGATTAATAAGCTTACACCATTTTTTTGAATTCATAGTAAATTAATCTTAGATTATTTGTATCAAAAACCATACTCTTCTTATGTTTCTACAAGTAGTGTCCTAAATAATTTGTTAAAATTTTTCTATATGTGCCTATTTTTAAGTCTTGTCATTATTCCATGGTTAGTAATAATTGCTGATATATAAAATAATTAAAATGTTTAACAAATAAGAACAAATTTTTGTATAATTTTAAATTATAAAAAAATTTTAATTAAAAAAGTAGAAAAATTATTAATGAATGAATGATTATTTTTTTATTAATAATGATGATAAAAAAGCTAAAAATAGATTATGATTTTCCTCAAAAACCTCAAAATTAAATTTATTTTATTGCTAAGAGATAAATTTAAATAATAATTAATTTATATTAAGTAATTTTACTTAATTAGATAATTAATATTTGTTTATTTTAGATTCTATTTTATTTTAATTTCAAGAAATAAAGACCAAAATAAAATAAATTCTATTTATAAGAGCAAAATAAAAAAGAAAAGAATAGTTTTTAAAATTATGTAAATATAGTCTGATACATAAAAATTAAAATATTAATAATTTTTTTTTGAATTTAAACTTTTCAAAAATTAAATTTTCTAATATTTAATCAGAATACCTTCCTTAAAACATATAAATTATCTTCTAATTAATCAAATAAAAAGCATAATTCATTTAGTTATTATTTTACCTTTTTTAGTTCAATTATATTTTTTTTATATTTTCATAATAATATATTAATAAATATATTTTGAAATAAATTTTTTATATTAAATTTTATCTATTTCGATAAATCTTAGCTTATGAATTGTAAGGCTCTTGAAAAAAATTCTAAGACTTTCTATTAATGCATCCAAAAATATCCTTACATACCTAAAAACTACACAAAAAATTAATAAAAATAAATGAAATGTGGTTTGTATATTAATTATATAAAGACCGATAAAAACATATCTTTGAGTAATTTTAAATGCTTCAAGTGCTTTTTGTTATTTAATACTCAATTAATAAAGTCTTTTTGTTTTTTTCCATGTTTGAAAATTAAAAACTAAGGTAATATTTATATGAATGATTAAAAAGTACCTTACAACAAATATCAACCTATTGTCTTTTAATTAATAGAGTGAAATCCAACTAATAATTTATTTTTTAGTGAAAATTCAATGGAATAACATCCTTTTAGATTTTGAAAAATGTTAAGTAAAGTATATTAGATATTATTAAAATTATTTCTATATCCTTAATTAATTTTATTTGTGTATATTTAAGTGTAATTTCATAATACTATTTAAAAAAATATAGATGAGAGAAATTAAGAAAGTCATGGTAAATTTTATTTTACTTATCTCTAAATGCTTAAATGGTATTCTATTTTTTACTCTGTTATTACCAAAAGATCAATAATCTTCTTACTTTTTTTTTTTCATTTAGTTTTCCTAATCTAATAAAATATTAATTTATGCTGTTTCAAATAACTCATATGAATAAAATTTTAAAATTAAAATACTATTTAAAAATATGATGTATTGGATAGTAATTATTATATTAAATATGTAATTAATTTATAATATTAAAGCTTAATTCAATTAATTTTAAAATTCACAAAGACAAAAGAAATAATTACTTTTTATCAAATTACAATTTATGAGTGTTTACTGTAGTTTTACATATCTAATGTAATGATAGAAGATTAAGATAATTCTAAACTTTAATTATTATTAATTTGATTTTTATACACAATAAGATTGCTTAACTTTAGATAATTTACAATTTCTTTTCATGATTATAATATAATTAAATATAAAAGAATAAGAAAAAGTAAGAAAGATGAAATCTAACAAATATTTCCTTTTATTTTTAACTATAATCTATTCTATAATTTAAAGAGTACTTGCTCAAGTTTACTATAACTTTCATGATTAAGGTAACAACCTAAAAGAAATAAGTCCTTTATTAATCAGTGAAAATATATCAAATTAAACACATTCAATCAAAGTAGAATCAGATCATTTGAAAAATTTTATAGGTGCTACCTACCAAGCTATATTTGAATTTAGTACCTCTTCACCTAAGTAAAACTATATTTAAATTAACATTTAAATAAATCTTACCAAATCTAAATATAATTAGGAATATATCTTTTATAATTTAAGATTAATCTTAGAGAATTTTACACTTAATTCTAAGCTAATCAATATAGAGCTTCACTATATAGTAAATAGTTGAATAACCTTACTTAATTTATACTATATATTCATATGGAAAAGATGAAAGCGTTTGGAACTTGTTTAAAATTAAAGGATTAAGGTAAATAATTTTTCATAAATGGAATATCATCATCAAAATATCTTTTAATTCTATTTCAATTTATTTTATAAATTCTATTTTGAATTAAAATAGGTTATTCATAAATATAAATAATTATTAGCTAAAATAAAATAATTCTTATCAAAATATTAACTCTTCCTTTCTAAGACTACTATAAAAATGTGGTGAATAATAATTTTTTCATCCTATTTATTAGCGCTGTGAAAATTGCCATCCTAATTGCAAAGGTTGTACAGAATACAAAAAGTGCAAAGATTGTTAAAAAAAAGCTTAACTTTAGAGGTATGATCAGCTTGCAGATGGATTTTGTGATAATTGTCCATCAGGATAACGATATGACATACAAAATTAATGCAAAGGCTGTTCAGATACATGCAACTGTGATAATAGTAATAAATAATAATGCATTTCATGTAAAGATAAAAGTAAAAATTAGCTTAATGTCGAAAAAAATACATGCGAACCATGTTAGTAAGACTAAGGATATTATATTGATGGATAATTTTGCAAACGGTGTAATATTATTTGTAAGACATGCAAAGGACCATCTGACAGTGATTGTTTAGAATGTATTGATGGAGCTAAAAAATATGAAGATGGAAGTTGCAGATATAATAATTAAAACCCTAACGATTGCATTTCTCCTTACAAATAAGATAAATCTTCAAATTGCGTATGTAATTAAGATGGCTATTATCTTAAGGATAAAAATTGTGTTGAGTGTTAAGCTGATTTAAAATGTTAAAAGTGTTCAATTGAGACATAATGTACTTAATGCTATACAAATAAACCTGAAAAATATCTTCAAGATGGAAAAAAATGCTCTGATTGTAAATAAAACGGCTACTTTATAGATTAAAGTTAAAGCATTTGTGAAAATTGCATTAAGAATTGTAGCATATGTAATAATAAATCTGAATGTTAAAAATGTAATTCTGGCTTTTATTTCTTAGAAGATAATAAATCTTGCTCTTAGTGCGAATAAGATGGATATTATATTGATAAATCTAATTAATTTTGCAATAAATGCCCACAGGAGAAGATGTGCTAAAAATGTAATAATAATTTGAAATGTACTGAATGCTAAAGTGGTCTCTACCTTTTTAATTCAGATAACTGTATTCCTTGCGATGAAGGATATTTTAAAAGTGGAAAAAATTGTTTTAAATGTGCAGATAATTGTGAAAAGTGTTCATCAGAATTTCAATGTATTTAATGCTCTTAGGGATATTTCTTAAAAGGAAATGTATGTCAGTAATGCTCACCTTAAATGAAGTGCTTAACTTGTATTAATGAAATATCTTGTGAATCTTGTGAACTAGGTAAATTTATTTAAAAGGATGGAAAATGCGATAAATGTGAATAAGGATATTACATTGAAAATAAATATTGTAGATAATGTAAAATTGGATGTAGTAGCTGTACATCATACTTTAAATGTAATTAATGCATGCCATAGTTTTATAAATTAAAAACTGAATGACAAATAATAAATTAATTCTAATATAATAATTTTATTTAATATTAATTTGTAATATTTAAAAAAAAAGTTTTTTCTTAATATAATAAATTAATTTACTTTTAATCTTTAAAAAAAATTATTTTGATTTTTTGAGAGTTTTGAAAATTTTGTTTTAACAAAAATACTTTTAAATTTTCTTCTACTTGATTTACTTAATCTTTGATAAAAAATACTTATGTTTATAAAATTAAAGTTTGACTTTAATTTAACACTAAAAAGTTTAATATTTTAAAAAAGTAATTAAGTTTCTTAATGTTTTATAAAATATTTCCTAACATCTTAAAAATGTTTACTTATTATATATTTGATAATATTTGTGTTAAATAAATCACTTAACTGTTTTTCAATAAAAATCTCTATTTTTCATTATAATTAAGAGATAAAAACTTAATTATTTCTTTTCTAATTTTCTTAATATTTTTAGTTCTCCATTTTCTTTAAATAAATATATCTATTGTTTTAGAACAAAAAATAATAGGGAAGTGATAAATATAAACAATTAATACCTAATTTTTATATTCATCCATATTTTAGTTAAATATTTAAAAAGATTTTAATATTATTTAGAAATATATTTTAGCTATTTTATAAGCTTAGATCAACTTCATCTCAAATATTATAAAGTCTTAATTATAAGCAAATTAAATTTCTATAAAGAAATTAAGATATATATAGATTTTAAGATATTCTAAGCTAAACGAATAAAAAATATGTATTAGTGAGCTTAATCATCATATATATTTTAATATTCTTTTAGTTTTTATCTAAACCATTTTTAAAAATGAGTTTAAAGTAAAATAAAATTATGGTTTGAAATTTACTTTCATAACTTTCAATTAAAATATTCTAACTGGAAGGAGTAACCAGATTCTTAAATATTTGACTAAGATAATTAATTTTACAAGCTTATCTTTCAGAAAATAAAGTTATTGATCACTTATTAGATTAATTATTAACCATTTTTCATAATATTTAAGTTAATCAATATATATCTTTTTATGTTTATGTTATATTTAAAATATAAAAGACTTAAAAGCACATGTTCATTCAGCCTAATCTTAGGAATTTTTAAAATCATGTTTGATCAATTAATTAATTATGGTGTTTTTGCATTTTAACAATTCACAATGAAGTTTTTTTAAATATACTTTTGAGCGAGCAAAATGGTTAAAAATAGAATAGTTTGATTCAAAAAATATATGAAAGCTAAAAGTTATAAAATGTTTTGAAATATTTATATTTATGGAATGCTAACTTATCAGTTACTGTTAAAAATTAAAACGAAATTTAGCATGAAAAAGTGTTATGTTTGACATTAGTTAGTTAGTCCCTATTTTTATCTAGTAGAATTAATAAAATTCAATTAAAAAGCTAATTGTTTAATCAAACTTCTTTTCATCTCAATTAATTATTTTATTATATAAGCTAAGATAGAATAATTTCATAAAATAATATTATGATATTATTTAGATTTATATTTTCTATTATTCAAATAATAATTTAAAATAAAACAAAATTAGATGCCATTATTTATTCTAAAGTATGAAAATTAACAACAACTTTACCAAAATTATATACAATTTCAATAGACTAAAATTATATTTAGGAACTCCTTACTCTACTAAGTATATTACATACTGATCTTAAATATTTTATCACGTAATACTCTATTCTCTAATTTTAATTCTTTTTATAAATAATTTAAAAAGATATTGCTATTCTCTGATAATTATTTCTGTAGCAGGAAATAAATATTCAGTAGAATAATTAATATTATTTTAAAATTTAAAGAAAATTTAAAACAATAAAAAAATGTATCTATTGAAATATGTTTCGAACCAGAAAGAACAAAAAAAAAAATGTTTAATCAAAGATTTAATTTGTTTTTTAATGAAGAAATATGTATTTTTTTTTTTTGATAAATTTTATTTTATTAACTTTCATAAAAAATAAAATTTACAATCAAATATTTTATGATTTTTTTAAATACTAAATATATTTTTTCTTCTCTCTTTTTTAAAATTTTTTGTATATAATTTAGAGATAACAATTGAATTCAATTTTACTTAAAAGAAACCACGTAAATTATTTGAAGATTAAAAGCTAAAAATTAATAAAAATATATATATTTTAATTTATTTAATTCGATTGTTTATATTTTTTTTCTTAATTTTAAAAACTAAATATCAAAATTTGCTAAATTATTCAGAGCTTGTTTTACAATTAATTTTATAAATTTTTAATAAAATAATTAATACTAATTTATTTAAAAAAATAAAGTAAATTTCTAATTATTTTAGTAAGGTTAACATTTAAATTATATTTACAAAATATAATAAATAATAATTGTAAAAATTTCAATAATCATTAAAATAGATTAATTTTATAAATAAAATTTGTTTGACTTGAAACTGTAAAATTTTGTACTTATTTTTATTGATAAAAAAATAATTTTAATAAGCTTATTATTATTTAAGTAAATATTTTTCTAAATGGATTTTATATACTTTTATATCTAAAACAGGATAATAAAATTAAAACAGAACTCTTACTTGAGTATAATAAGTTATACCACTATTAATATTACAAGAAATAAAAATAATTTAGAAAACTTTCTTTCTTTTTAGATCCTAATAGAACGGAATCAAATTACAATTACTAGAACCAATTACAAATTTATATTTAATCATTTTTTGTGGGTATCTTAAGCAATAAGAGGTAAGAGTAATTAACGCAGGTTCAAATATTAATTATTATTTTTTATTCGTTTGATAGTTTTTCAAATTTAAAGAATTTATTAATGTTTTAGGTTTATTAAGTTGAGATTCTGTTTTTTAGTTATTAACTGTAATTCCCCATTAATTAATTTTCATCCAAGATAATTTTTACTATTAATCCATAGACTTTTACTTATCTTTAAAAATAAGAAAATTAATTATTTGATTTTATTTGCATAAATAACAATTTAAGGTAAATATTGTTTTCCAACCTGAAAATTTAATAATTAATTTTTTATAAAAATTTACTAATTTTTTTTTTTAAATGTTAAAAAGAGGAATAAAAATGCAAACTAAAAGATTTAATACTTTAATCTTTTTAATAACCATTTTAACTTAAAAGATAGGTAATTCATTTTATAATTTTAAATATTTTCTTTATTTTAACATCTATTTATTTTTTCATAAGTATCTAGAACTTTTATATTTAGCGATTAGACCTTTTATAAAGAATAGGAAATAATAATAAAATAAGAATTGTTCTCTTTTTAAGATACTTTATGCTCTATTTAAATATAATTTGCAAGCAAATATTATAACCGATAGTAAATTTAAAGTTTTTTTTAATAGTTTTAAATTAATATATTAAATAAATAAATAAATAAGGTATAAATTTACAAGTATTTAACCTGAAAATGTTGATGTTTAAAGAATTATTTTAGAAGAAACTAAAGTACAGTTAGATTTTATAAGAATTCAAAAATAAAAAGATATTAAAATTAGAGTCATTTTATCATACAACAATTAATATTTATAAAATTAGTAACCTATTCTTCAATACAAGTAAATCTGTTTTTTCTTTTTTTAAAAAAATTTAAATTAAAATAAATTTTAAAAATTCAGAACTCAATGCTTAACTCATACAAATAGCTAGATTCAAAAAAGATTACTATAAAAATCTTGTACTGGTAATACTTATTATGAAATTGTATACTAAGAATGTATGTAGTGTGGATAATATTGTTATGGTTGTACAAACTATTACTAGTGTAATGATTGTATTAAAAAAGATTTAAGAGGTAGATATGATTATTTATATGATAAAACTTGTGGTACCTGTAATGATGGATTAAAGAGTTCAACATTTAGTAATCAATGTAAAGGAAAGTCAGATAAATGTAAAGATATTTCAAGTGATGGTAAATAATGCAAGAGTTGCAAAGATAGTAGTCTTTTTATTAACGAAGAATTAGCAACTTGTTAAAATTGTGACACTAATAATGGGTGGTATATAAGTGGTTAGTATTGTAAAAGGTGCCCATATCAATGTTTATCATGTAAAGGACCAAATCCTAATGATTGCATTACTTGTAGAGATAGATTAGTGAAAAATGATGATGGTACATGCTATAATCCTAATTAACTTTGCTCTGATGGTTATTATAAATCTTAATCAAATTGTGTTAAATGTCCAAGTAAATGTACAAAATGCGCATCTGACAAAAAATGTGATGAGTGTGAAGGAGGTTCTTATATTATGCAGAATTAATTATGTGGAGATTGTTTGATAGGTAAAGGAGAATTCATTGATGGGAAATAGTGTTCTAAGTGTTCAGAATATTGCTAATCTTGTTAAAATATATAAACATGCTAAGTTTGCTAAAATAGTTATTATTTGAAAGAAGATAACTCAGGGTGTATGAGCTGTGTTTAAAATAGCTAATATTTTATTGATGAGAAATATTGTAAATTATGTGATTCTAATTGTTTAACATGCTCTGAAAATAAAACAAAATGTTTATCATGTGTAGGAGGGCTTTTTTTAACAAGCGATAATAAGTGTATAAAATGTGATTAAAATGGATTTTATATTGAGGGATCCAAATGTTTACCTTGCAATCCTGAATTAAATTGCTAAAAATGTAATAGCAGTAAATCTTGCACTGAGTGTAGTCCTGGACTATTTATTTAATCTGATATAAATAATGGATGTGGTATTTGTAAGGATGGTTTTTTCACATCAGGTAATTATTGCAAGCGTTGCAAAGAAAATTGTTATAAATGCAAAGATTTGAATAATTGTGAAAAGTGTGCTGATGGATTTTTTTCCAAAAATGGAATTTGTACTTTATGTCCTGAAGATCTAAAATGCAAAACTTGCTCAGATGAAAAAACTTGTACCAGTTGTAATAGTGGTGAATTTATTTAGCCTAATAATACATGTAATACTTGCAAAGAAGGATATTACATAGACGGTATATTTTGTAAAAATTGTAAATAAAATTGTTTAAAATGTAGCTCATAGGATACTTGTAGCTAATGTACTGATGGATATTTTCTTAAATCTGGTAACTGTGAATCTTGCAATCCTTCATTAAATTGCTTGACTTGCTCAGATAAACTTTCTTGCGCATCTTGTTCTAAAGATAAATATATAAATCCAGATGGTAAATGTGATTTTTGCTTAGAAGGGTATATTATTGAAAATTAATTTTGTAAAAAATGTTCAGATAATTGTTAAAAGTGCTCATCAGTATCTTAATGTATTTAATGCTCTTAGGGATATTTCTTAAAAGGTAATGTATGTAAATAATGTACTCCTTAAATGAATTGCTTAACTTGCTTAGATGAAAGCTCTTGTGAATCTTGTGAACCAGGTAAATTTATTTAAAAGGATGGAAAATGCGATAAATGTGAATAAGGATATTACATAGAAAATAAATATTGTAGATAATGTAAAATTGGATGTACTATCTGCACGTCATACTTTAAATGTGATTAATGCATGCCCTAGTTTTATAAATTAAAAACTGTATGATTACTAATAAACTAATTCTAATTTAATAATTTTATTTAATATTTATTTGTAATATTTATATTTAGAAATATTACATTTGTTTTTTGGAAATTTTCTAATATAGATTTTTTAATAAAAATATTTTCATATTTTATTCCATATTTTTGTTTAATCTTTGATATTAAGCACCTATTTGTATTAAATCAAAATCATATTTTAATTTAACACTAAAAATGTTAATATCTTAAAAAGTAATTAAATTTCCTAATATATTATAAAATATATGCTAACATCTTAAAAATATTTCATAAAATATATTTGATAATATTTAAGCTAAATATATCTATAAATTAATTTTCAATAAATATATCTATTTTTTAATTACAATTGAGACATAAAATTTAAATTCTTTCTTTTCTAATTTATCTTAATTATTTTTAGTTCTCCATTTTCATTAAACATTTCTATTGTATTATCACAAGAAACAATAGAAAATTGATAAATTTACACCATATTATCAATTTTTTATATTCATCCATATTTTAGTTAAATATTTATGATATTTTAATATAATTTAAGAAATATATATTGGCTATTTATAAAGCTTAGATAAACTCAATTATAAAATAGTCTTAATTTAAGAAAGTTAAATTTCTATAAATAAATCAAGATTTCTAAAGAATTTACCATAGAAATTCTAAGCTAAACGAATTAAAATA